GGGGGGTATTCTTTTTTTTTTTTTTTTTGGTAAAGATGATCTTACTATGTAACCTTAACTAGCCTGGAGCTGTCCTCATGCTCAAGGAACTCTTCCTGCCTCTGCCTTCCTAGTGCAGGGGTCAAGGCCACCACACCCGGCTTGTTTTACTTGTTTAAGATGGGGTCTCAGGGCTGGAGAGATGGGTCAGCTGCTTAGTCTCTAACACCCACATGGCAGCTCACAGCCATCTAGACTTCAGTCCCTCTCTGGTCACCTTGGGACTGCATATGTGTAAGCAAAACACTGAAAGACAGGGTTTTGTAGGCTTGGTAGCAGGGGTCTTCAGTCCCAGCACTTGGGAGACAGACAGGTAGATAGATGTCTTTAGTTTAAGGTCAGCCTGGGCCACAAAGAGAAACCCTATCCTGAAAAACCAAAAACGTAAGTATATCAATAAATTAATTCATTTTTGAATACAAGACAGGGTTTCATGTAACCCTGGCTAACCTTCAACTTCTCATCCTCCTACCCCAGCCTCCTAGTTGCTGGGATTGTGTGTGTGGCCACCCTGTGGAAAACCTTTTGTGGTTTTTCAAGACAAGGTTTCTTTGTGTAGTCCAGGCTGTTCTGGAACTCTGTAGACCAGGCTGGCCTCGAACTCACAGAGATGGGCCTGCTCCTGCCTCCCCAGTGGTGGGATTAAAGGTATGTGCCACCACAGGCAATGGTGCTTAATCCTTTTAACCCTGCTTCTCAGGGCCTTTGGGGAGTCCCCCCTTCCCAATTTCTGCTGTAGGGATCAGAACTTCCTGTCCTTTCTTGCTTTCTGTGGGCGTATTTTGTCAATATTTGTTCCTGTCTTGTGGCCTCTTGTCCCAGCACTCGAGGTAGGAGAGACAGGACGCCTGTCCTGAGTTGAGGCCAGCCTGGGCTATGTAGTTAAGACCTCCTCCTCTAGTGACCACCACCAGAGGACGCTGGGCTGTGCACACACACGGCTGCAAACATCCCCTGCCTGGTCTCTGGACCCTCAGGGACGTTGGCCAGATCTGAAACCTACCTCTCTCCAGATGCCTTCTGCAAAGTCCATGAGGTTCCTTCTGGAGCTGACCTGTGAAGGAGGGCTTGATGCCAATTCTGCCATGGCAGCTGAACACCCGGGGCACTTGGGGTGCTCGCTTCCTACACCACAGGACATACACTCGCCTTGGCAAAAGGAGGGAACCCTGGACAAAAGTCTTCCCAAGGCCCAGCAGAGGTAAGGGAGCCCTTCCTGGGAGCAGTGAGCCGCACAGCGCCCTGGCACTGGTTCTGGGCCCAAAGCCAGAGGGAGGTGGAGGTCTCTGCACGTTCTTTCTCAACTGATCCCTGCACGCATGCAGAAGCAGTGAGGTTCACAGAGCTAACAGAGGAGCCTAGGCCATCACCTTCCCACGAGCCCTTGCTGCTGAGGAAGGTAGCTTTTGTTTTTATCAAAGAGCACTGGAATTTGAGTACTTCCAGTTTTGGAATGGGAGGAAGGGATCCAAAACTTGCAGAGATGGCATCCCCCCAGCACACTCCCCCTTGCTGAACAGGAGGGCACCTGAAGGCGATGGCGAGCGTGTCTCTGCCACTTCCAGAAGCCAGCTGCACTGAACGCCGCCCTGATGCAGGTGTGTCGGCTCGGCCTCAGGCTGGCCATCCCTCAAGGCCAGGCACACGGACTTTACTTAACTAAAAATAGCAAGTCAGAGGAGGAAGCCCAGGTCAGAGGTTCTGGAGCACAGGGAAGGGCCAGCCACACAGAGAAGTGGGGGGGAACAGTCCGTCCTACCCTGTAGCCCAGGCTGGCCTTCCTCATTCTCTGGGAATATGAGGCAACTGAGGCAGGAGGAACATTCAAGGCCAGCTTAGGATATATATGTATATAGCAAGACCCTCCATCAGCACACAGTGAGGGCTGTCGCCAGAGTTCAGTCCATCCAGTGCTTACATAGCATAGCTCACGTAGCACACACTAGACCTGACTCAATCCCCAACACCTGTAAAAATGGAGCGACAACTCAAGTGTGAACCCCACCACCTCCTACACTCAGGAGAGAGGAGGATCAGAAGTTCAAGGTCATCCTTGACTATATAGCAAGAGGCCAGCCTGGGCTACATGAGCTCCTTCCTCAGTAAACAAAACCCTATGGTTGGGGTACATACATACAATGGTAGAGTACTTGCCTAGCTCTGAGTTGTGGGTGCAAACGGGGTGGGAGGTGGGGAGCATCAGGAGAGCACAAGACACAGTGCGCATAGAGAAAGAGCCACCTGGATACATGAGACGAGACGCTCTCTAACGTTTAAAAATAAGGACCAGAGTGACCCACTCAGAAATTAAGAGCACTGGCAGGTCCTGAGTTCAATTCCCAGCAACCACATGGTGGCTCACAATTACCTGTAGTGAGATCTGGCGCCCTCTTCTGGCCTGCAGGCATACATGCAGACAGAACACTGTATACATAATAAAAATAAATTTTGAAAAAAAAGTTTTAAATAAAGTGTAAAAGTGCTAAAAATGGAGCTGAAGAGCTGGCTCAATGGCTAAGAGCACTCGCTCTCTCAGAGGAGCCAGGTTCAGCGCCCAGCTGATGACTCACCACCCCATCTAACTCCAGCTCCAGAGGATCTGGCATCCCCTTCTGGTGCACAGACATAAACTCAGGCAAACCACTCAGCCGCAAAATAGATATTTTTTCTATTTTTTTTAAAGATTTATTTATTTATTATGTGTACAGTATTCTCAGTATTCTGTCTGTCTGTATGCCTGCAGGTCAGAAGAGGGCACCAGATCTCATTACAGATGGTTGTGAGCCACCATATGGTTGCTGGGAATTGAACTCAGGACCTCTGGAAGGGCAGCCAGTGCTCTTAACCTCTGAGCCATCTCTCCAGCCCCCCTAGATATTTTTTTAAACACCAAGAAAACTAGCTCTACGAACCTCCTTGAAGTTTCATGTCACTCAACTGCTCCAGAATCTTCGAAGCATCTGCTAGACCCTGTCGGAAAGAGCCTCCATCACGTCACAGCGTACACGCAGCATGCACACATCATGTACGCTTTTCAGCAGTAAATCCTGACTCCCCCAGATTGCACACTACCCAGCTCTGAAACCCGCAAAGCAAGCAAAAAACTAGCCCTGCCGCACCCTCATGAACACACAGAGCTCATGGGCATCTTAAAGGGTAGGAAAGCCCCAGCAGAAAAGAAAGCTAGAGTCTAGCATGGTGACCTCACATCTGCCTCTAATCCCAGCACTGGCGGGGGCAGGGTGTGTAGAGGCCTGAGGGTCAGGAGTTCCAGATCGATCATTCTTAACCATGCAGGGAGTTGAGGCCAATCTGGCTACGAGAAACCTCGGGTGTCTCCAGAAAAAAAGAGGGAGAAAAGGGAGGAAGGAGCAAGAGAGGTGGTCGGAGGCGAAGCCCATTGACTGCTCTTGCAGAGGACCTGAGCTCAGTTCCCAGCACCCACATAGAGTAACTCTGTCATCCGCAACTCCAGCTCCAGGGTATCAGATGCCTCTGTCTTCCTAGCGCATCAGCACACACGTGTACGTAAACACACACACACTTTAAAATAATACTAAAAATAGAAAGAGAAGAAAGGAGGGCAGGAGTGGCTCAGTGGGTAGTAGCCCTGAGGATCCAGGTTCAATTCCCAGAATCCACGTCTGTAACTTCAGTCCCAGGGGATCAGATTCCTCCTCCTGGCCTCCACAGACCTGCACATGAGGCACATACATACAGGCAGGCCAAACATCCACGCACATAAAAAAAAATATATACAAATATATACTTTTCAATACAGTTTCCCTGGCTGTGTATTTTTAAATACTTACCATGTACAGTGCCCAGATTTCCCCTTTCCTTTTCTTGTCCCAGGTCCGCAAGTGACACTTAAAAGTACTATTGCCGCTGGGCGATGGTGGCGCACTCCTTTAATCCCAGCACTCGGGAGGCAGAGGCAGGCGGATCTCTGTGGGTTCGAGGCCAGCCTGGCCTACAGAGCTAGTTCCAGGACAGGCTCCAAAGGCACAGAGAAACCCTGTCTCGAAAAACCAAAAAAAAAAAAA